ACTTGTGACACCTACATGAATGGCTGTAAAAACGCGAGAAAGGAGTATTTTTCTGACTTTCACGTCGCAGGTTTCCTCAGAGTTGAGCGGAATCTTCCTGTACTACAAAAAACTTGAATATCAGGGTGTTTTCTGACCGAGTGGGTGTAAAGTGGATTCTCAGAACTGTTACTTTTTTGTCTGAGAGATCAGCGCTTAACAATTTACTTTCAGTGGGTGAAGTGAAGACTTGGACAACTCTCACAGCACAGTTGTAATGTGCCACATAACCACTGTTCCACATCAATGTCTTGTGCTTTGCTTTTTGTTTGACACTTTAAAACAACTTTTTTTCCACTTCTGAAAAAAAAAAAATAAATAATAATAATAATGTAGCTGTTTTTGTTTTTAATATATATAATTTTCAAATATGTTTTTTTATGATTGTTTATTGTTGTACTGATAAATATCTCCTGGAGGGTAAACTATATCTTGGCTGCAAGTATCAAGCTGTGAAATCCTTCGTTTTCTACAAGTGGTAGGAGTTGGACATTAATTATGATGAAGTTTAGCAACTTCTCTGTAAACATTAGAGTTCCATGGTTTCAGCGATGTCTTCTTCTTGTTCAATCCGAAGCAGGCAGCCTGATTTGGGGGCAGCCGTGCTCAGTCTGTCCCTCCTCAGAGACGGGTAGACTGCAGGGAAGATTGGACGCGGCTGACCGGGGTCGAGTCGCCTCTTTCGGATTCAGCGAGACTAGCACCCCGCTGAAGCCACGGAGCTCGAATGTCCATCGTAAAACTAACTTTACCGCGGTTTAATGTGGCGCTATGGCTCTGCAGACATTGCACGTTGCGGCGTTGCTTTGTAGTGTTTCTTTAGTGTAAAATACTTCCACACAGCCATTGTCATTGTTTTGGAAGCCAGATGTGGTGATATCTGGGGCAACAGAATAGAGCTGGAGGGAAATACTAGACACAGTGATGGACACGAGGATCCCCACCTGCTTCCTGTAGCTCTAAACAATGTTTCAGATTAGAGCATGGGGTTCACTTTCCTAACCCCACTCTTGAAATCCTGCTATCTCACAGATTCTAAATTGTTTGTGCTTTAAGGCGTCTTCCATTCTGTTTTATGATTTGACTACACCATTGTTAAAGATGGGTAAGTGCAGGAACTATGCAACGGAGGACCTTTCAGTTATTTATTTATTTGTTTATGTATTTATTTAGACCATAGAAGTTAGTCCCAACACTAATCCAGATTTAAAAATTATTCTAGTGCCTTTGAATCTCATGTCCAAACACAAATAAAGATTTAATGAGAAAAACAAAAGCTTTGAAGAACATGGAGAAAGTAGACATTTTTATAAACTAAGTTTTTAAGCCTTCTGTTACAAATAAAGTCCAGTTGTTTTTTATTGAACGTTTTTTGAATTCATCATGTCCTGGATGACTGAGAATCTTCACCAGCATACGTTTTTAAGCGTTATCCTGTGGACTCCAAATACTTTTTTTTTCAGAAACAATGACGAAGCAATCTTTTTTGCAGAGGCCCGTGATCACTGTGTGCCCTAGAAACCCAAATAAACACAAAGCAGTTTCTACCAACTTTTCTGCTTCTGTCTGATTTTGTCGCCATCAAACTATGATCCTGTTTTGAAAAGGACAATAACTGAGTAGAAACTGTATCAACTAAGATGATTTATTGGAGAACCCTTAGCCTATCAACTGTAGGTAAGTGTATTTCTGTATTTTGATCTGTTTTCATATGACTGTGTACAACATCTAATAGCACAGCAAGCGTATTTGCCACTGTTGAAAAATGTGTAAACAAAAACTAAATAAATTGGAGAGAAATATCCGTAACAATTATTATCTGTGGTGTAGTGTAGGCAGGGTCTGAATATCAACGCAGCCTTTTACTTTAGGCAAACAGAACTCTTGCAAAAAATACATTTTGTAACAAGGACAAAATCTATAGTTAAAAAAGAGAAAAGAATGCTAATGCAACCTGCTCTTAATTTGTTGAGAATAATAATTTATTGCCACAATTTCACTTAAAATTTAATGTTCGAGGTTCTTTGACTGCCTTGGTAGAAATTTTGCTTGGCTTTAAGGGGCTGCACAGAAGCATTCAAGAATATATAACCACAGAAAACAATCAGATAAATAGATTTGTAACAATACAATTATGAATATATAGTTAAGAATCAATGTGCTAATGTGCTCGCCAATGCTAACTGTCTATAAAGACTATGCAACAATAGCCACACAGAAATTACTGACAACTAAGATTGCATTTGTTCATTGCTAACCTTAATAGAAGTGGAACAGACGACTCTTTGCACCAGTTTTTTTTACACGTATGCCTCCTGCTTGAGTTCAGCTGGGTGCATCAGACATGAGAACTGTCGTTTCAACTGTTCACCTGTGAAGGGACTTGCTCCTCAAAGAGCTCCGCGAGGTTAAGAAGAGTGTGACCCATCATCTTCCTGTTGTCCTTAATAAAAGATCAATCTGATTACTAGATTAGACTGTTAGGTTAATATCACACCAAAGGTTAGCTTCTATTGTTGCTCTATAGAAAATTAACATTGGGGTTTTGTAAGCATCAAGGGATATGATGGCTTAGTGGTGAGGAATGTTGTCTCACAGCAAGAAGGTCCTGAGTTTGATCCCTGTTTAAACCTGGGTTCTTTCTGTGTGGAGTTTGTTTGTTCTCCTTGAGTTTGCGTGGGTTTTCTCTGGGTGCTACAGTTTCCTCCCACAGTCTAAAACATGCAGGTTAGGTTGCCTTCAGGCCCAGGCCTGCCTTGCAAAAAAGATCTGGGACCTCACAGGAATCTGCCTGGTTAAATAAAGGTTAATAAATCATATTAATAAAAATCGAATAAACAGAGTCTATGTAAAAAGTGAAGGTAATGATGGATTCCAGGACAGATGGTGGCTACGTGCATCTGCCATCTTAATTAACTGTCAGTATGAACACCAAGGTATTTGTATGAGGTCACCTGTTTAATGGGATCATTGTATATGATCACAGAGCTCTGGTCATCAGCTGATCTGGGCTCCAGCAGCATCTCCACAGTCTTATTGGTTTTAAGATTAAGTTTATGGATGTCACACCAGTCCTCAAACTTATCCACAGCTGTGTTTGTAAAGTTACTGAAATTCTTGGGGAGCAGGCAAAATAATGATATATCATCTGAAAACTTGGATGAGGGGGGAGTGGGGGGTAGTGGTGCTAACAGCTGTGATTGAAGTTTAAATTTCACTTTCTGTGGACTGTTGGTAAGGAAGAAGTCGCACCACCTGATTAAATAAAGGGTTTTCATACATATTGACTTTCTACGCAGGATATGTGGCTGAAATGAATGAAAAGCAGAACAAAAATCAACAAACTGCAGTCGAGCGTATGCATTTGGCTTTACAAGGTGCTTTAATGTGACATGAGTTAATACTGATATGACCTCACTTTGGTTATTTTTCTTGCATATGCAAAATGATATATGTGTAACAGTGGCTCTACATAAGCACAAAGCACATTTATCATGAGTCTCCATAGTGCTAGAAAAGTATTTGAGGTGAAACGCAACAAAATTTTGGTGCACAGCACTCAGCAGAATGTTTTCTTTGTGCCTCAAATACTCAATACATGAAATTGACATTATTATTGACTTTGTACAGCCTTCAGACTGACAGAAAGTGTTCTCTAAAAATCCACTTCTGCAGAAATAGCTAAGAAAGCCTTGGGTGTGTGTGTGGGGGGGGGGGGGGGACACGGTGCATCGGTGGGTTGGTTTCCATTTCTGTCCTTTTAGTGGCTTTTAATGTCTCCCTTTTTAATAGAAGCTAGTTAGAGCTTCGATGGGGAGCAGAGACGAGACAGTGGTGACTCCTGTGCAGCCTTCTTTCAGTATGTTATTTATGTGCCCTTTTCCTTTGCCAGCCGGAGGGAGGCAGCTTTGTTACTCTGAGCCAAGTGAAGAAGAGCCAAGTGTGGTCCGTAATCTAGTTCACTGTCCCTTTCCTCCAAACTAAAAAGCTTTTGGGATGTGGAACCAAACTCAGTCAGCTGGTGTGGGCGTCAAGGCATCGATGCAACTGAAGGATTTACCCACATTGCTATGGAGACTGTAGCATGCAGCAGCTTGAAAAAGGAAAGATAAATCCCATCCCCCCCACACTCACCCGTTCTCTTTTTTAAGCTATTTTAAAACCTGCTGCTCAAGTGTTCACCCTCAGGAGTTCTCCAACCCTACCCTCACAAATCCAAGCACAGAAAAACAGTGACACACATGCACAGGCACGTGTTGAAATGCGCACGGTCATCACTAAATCAACGTGGGAGTACTTTACTTAAATTCTAATAGGGGAGATAAAATTATTAAAACAAATCTGCAATATGAGACAAGAATAAATGAGAAGATTTATTATACTAAATAATGATGGTGGATGGATGGATGGATGGATGGATGGATGGATGGATG